AGCGAGAGGCTTTCCGCAGTAGACATATTTCTCACAGAGGAGGTAATGTGGTTACATCTTTTCCCACTCAGTTTATCCATTGTACTGAGTGACTGTATTCACTGAGTATGAAGGTGTGCCATGTTGTAAATATGACTTCCTGGACCCTTTTTTGTCCCTACATATTACCATTTTAATCAAATTTTTGTAAGATCATACTCAACTGCAATGCATCGGTTGTTTAGTGCAGTCCAAATTGGTAAAAGTCAAAAAGTAGTTGATACATATTGAATTCATTATATATCTGATTAAGAACTCTGTTTTTACTATTTTTTTTTTGTAGTTTCAGTTTTGTTTTCCATCTTTTTCGGGGCAGTGGTGGCTTTAGGTTCGAGTCCACCCACTGTTCACTTTGGTGATGGGTTAAAAACAGAGGTCACATATGGCTGTGTGCAGTGGTGTGCTGTGTCACAATGTACAGTAGTTCACTTTCCTTCCTTCCCTTCCTTTCCTTTTGTGGTGAAAATGTTAAAGAAAAAAGCAAACAGTGATAACTTTTGTGATTTACAGGAGCAGGTGAGAACCTAGAAAACACTATGGCAGCTTTCAAGCAGTAAGTAGCAGCCTTTTAAATAAGCACCTATAAGCTTTTTTTTTTTTAAGTAACTGTAACCTTGTAAAACATGAACATATTCCTACAGTGCTGTGGCTTTGGGAACAGATATGCTGGAGCTCGACTGTCACCTTACTAAAGATGGACAAGTGGTGGTTTCACACGATGCCAACTTGAAGAGGGCGACCGGCTTCGATGCTCCAATCGCTGACTTCACATATGCTGTGAGTTACTCCTCGGCGATGTGAAGACGATCATGGAGCCAAAAGCTGTGTTATCTGTTTCGTTTAAACAATAGGATAGACAGATATCATTTTACTCAACTTGCTTTGCCACATTTTTCTTTTTACTGTGTTGAGTCCGCAACCTCAGAGCGTAGACTGTGGTTCTGCTCCGTTGAACACCGAGTACTGTGTTATTTCTGCAGGAATTGCCTCCATATCTTTGCAAGCTGGGTGTAACTTTTCAAAGAGGTGAGTTCAACATATCAGTGACCAAGGCTTCATCTATAGTCTTTTTTTCTCTTTGTTAATACCTTAACATGATGTCACGTGAGTAATAATCTGCACTGCACATGCAGATTAACATGCGCTAGAGTTGGCATAAAGTAAGGCCCGGGGGCCGGATGCGGCCCGTTCAGCTTTTTAATCCAGCTTGCCAAACTGTTCCAAATTATATAGTTTATTTATATTATCAATATACTTCTGCCTTTTCCCTGCAATACCCACATGTCTCTAATAGATGGCATAAAAATGATCAAACGAACGCTCCATCTATCTGCTACTGACCTGGCCCCCCCGGTTCAATTTTAGGACAGTTGTAGCCAGCGAGTCAAAAAGTCATGTGACACACGTTTCAATTTCAAGGTACATCATTACAGTTTGTGTAGAATCCTAAAGTCTGTTTGATTTGTCCTTATCTTTACAGAGTGTTTCTGTGAAGGAGGGGAGGACAAGCGTATCCCTCTTCTCAGGGACGTCTTTGATGCCTTCCCTGACACTCCGGTCAACATTGACATCAAGGTCAACAACGACACACTCATCAAAAAGGTCTGTGTGTGTGTGTGTGGTCAGTGGTGCTTTGCTCTAATTCAGTGATTATCAACTGGCGGCCTGTGGGACGAATCCAGCCCATCCAAATGATCAAATCTGGCCTGCGACTGGATTCCAAAATAAACATTAAGGAACGATGTAAGACAAAAATGTTCATAAAAATTCTGGCCCTCTGACAAATATAGCTGGTAACCCCTGAGCTATTTGCAGTTTTTTTTGTTTCTTTGTGTCCATTGCAAATGTATCTGCATATTATATATTTCTTGTTTTCTAATTCTATGAATTCTGGTATCATGTTGCAGGTGTCTGAGCTAGTTGTCCAGTACGACAGAGAGCATCTTACTGTTTGGGGAAACGCTAGTAACAAGATTGTGAAGAAGTGTTTTAAAGAGGTACTTTATGTTTTATTGTCACTTACATGATCCACATGTACTATTTCAATTTTTAATCACATACCTGTACATTCTAGTAAGTGGTTCACTAATTGACCTTTCTCTCAAGGGTCAGTTGGCAGCACGTTTGTGAGTTCGAGCCTCACAGGGGCATGTGTTTTAGTTGGTTTCATAGTGTAGCGGTTAGCTTAGATTCTCTTTAGGAGTGACAAGAATGGACAGGATCAGGAATGAGGTCATTAGAGGGACAACACAGACAGGAAGGTTTGGAGAAAAAGCTAGAGAAGCCAGATTGAGATGGTTTGGACATGTGCAGAGGAGGGACAGTGGATACATCGGTAGAAGAATGTTAGAGATGGAGCTACCAGGTAGGAGAAAGAGAGGAAGGCCAAAGAGGAGATATATGGATGCAGTGAGGGAGGACATGCAGGTAGTTGGAGTCAGAGTAGAAGATACAGAGAACAGGGAGAGATGGAAATCAATGATCTGCTGTGGCAACCCCTGAAAAAAAGAGCAGAGAGTCCTGGGTTTGATTCCCAGAGGAACCCCATGCTTGGCACTTGCTAGGCCTGTTAACAGCATATCTGCTGCTAACACAACAATTTCCCAAATATGAGATCAATATAGTACAAATGTATCTTTTATCTTTTTTAAAGGGGATATACAGTATTATGCTGCTTTTATGCAAATGTGTTGTTTTCTTGATGAGGTGTATAAACATTTTTTGGTCAAAGAATTAAGCACAGCTGGGTTTTTTTTACACATCTGTTTTACAGTCCTACTGTGAAAAGACCTAAACCTTTCCCTATAAATGGTTAAATGTCCACTCATTCATCTCCACTCAGCCTCTATGGCCATCTCCCCTGTGTTGTTGCAGATAACCCACAGTGCTAAACGTGCAGCTTGGTTTTTGAGTCATATATGATTGTTGTCAAGCAGTTGCATACAAGTAAATCGTGGTTTCTGGGATATTCTGAAGGGTTCTCTTCTCTGTGACACATTTCCAGATTTTGCCAGATTGTAAAACATATGCTTAGTTGTCGACATAGGAGTAAGAAGGTGTATCGCGCCGTCGGCCATGTTGTGTGGCAAACAATCGATAATGACAACAAATTCACTAGACACATTTACAAAGGCAAGATACTTGGACAAGTTGAAAATAATCGATGGAAAAGACCCATACGAAGTCAACAAAGCTCGGTGGAAGTGGGCGGACAGCGAAAGTTGGCCAGACAATGTATATCATACGGTATTTATAACACAAATAATAATTTAATAATGTTAATGTAAAAATCACAGTGGCATGTACGGATATGTCTTTTGTGAACATCATTAGAATAACAGTTTGTTTTACTATTGATTCGATTATACTTTTTTCCCAAAAATCTGTATTTTTTACTTTCTAAATTAAAAAAAAAAATAGTTTGATTGTACATGTACTGTACATAGAAAATACTGATAATGATATGGACTGTGGTTAGCTGAGGATTTATATTTGCATTGTGTACATTTGTCATGTATGCAAAGTACATTTTGATATATTTTAATTTTATTGAAATTGAACATATGAGTTAAATAAAAGTATAATGTAATTACCCGACATAAAGTGTTCAGAACAGACCTTGTAATGCTTTTCGCTTGGATCTAGGTTAAAATTAGCATGGTTAATACGTAAAAGCCATAGCATTCTTTTTGTCTGTCGAAATATCCTCCGTCAGCTTTGTGTCAAAAAACTTTATCCTGCGATCTCCACACAACACAGGTATTTACCATTATCGGTGTTCTTTTTTGTATTTAATATCAATCTATATGCTCTGTTGCCCCACAAGATGGCGGACTATGGGTAGTAGCTCCTGGCAAAGTCAATTTTTGCATGTGTTCCAATATGGCTGAAAATGCATGAAGAAAATTACTGTAAAATTAATGATTATATAGCATACTATAACAGACTTGGTTTTCTGTCTAAAAAAAGTTTCATCTTCTTGAACCATTAATGTGACACAAGAATCTCAGTTTTGCTTTCTTTTCATTTCTTTGATTGTTGTGCAGAACCCACGGATTCCAGTATTGTTCAGTTTTCCGCGAGTGTTGCAACTGTTGGGTCTGTACTACACAGGCCTCTTGCCATTTGTCCCACTGAAAGAGCAGTTCCTGGAAATCCCAATGCCCTCCATCATCACCAAGTAAGTTAACACAAAGGCAAATAAAGCACAAAAACCTTGATGTGAAGAGAAACAGTTGGTGGGTGTTTCTCTTCACCTCTGTATCAAGCATGGCCACCAACTGTTTCTCTTCACCTCTGTATCAAGCATGAACTCGTTCATATTGTCAAGTTTTTACATGAAGAAAATTCTTCTCTGAATTCTTCTTTTTACATTTAGAGAGGCTAATGATTTTGTGAATCCCCTACAACCTACTACAGATTCTTTTTATTATTTTTTTTCATAAAAGCTCTTGTTCATTTCAGCTTTTTTTTTAAGCTTTTACTTTGTATTTTACTCATACAAACAGATTTTTTTTTTCATAAAAGCTCTTGTTCCTTTCAGCCTTTTTTTTTTAGCTTTTACTTTGTATTTTACTCATACATGTGCATGTTGGGCCGAATGCGAGATAAAACAAGTATCAACAAGCAAATGAAAATGTTCTGAATGAGATAAGAGCAGTGCATTCTGATTTCTGCAGATTAAGAGATCCACACGGATTAACACAAAGTCAGAGATTCATCACCTGGTTGGCAGATAGGTAAGTTACTCACAAATAGGTCCTTGTCACCAGAATATTCCATTTCAAGAAGGAGTTCAATATTCATTAATTAATTTATTTATTTTTTGCAACGGTTGCCACAAAACTATCCTTAAATATATTTCTGTTCATTTGTATTCTTGAATCCAGCAATTGCCGTATACACTGTACCTGTGTTCCCATTGTTAAACATGTATTTATTTATTTTGCTCCTACAGTTTGTTGATGAGGAAAACCTTGTTTGAGCATCTTACTGCCAGAGGAATACAGGTAAAAAATAAAAAAAAAAAAGTTTCCTAAATTATCTCAGCTAATTGCATTGCACTCTTCTCCTTGTGATGATGGTCAGAGCAGGCTTATTTGCATAGGTAGGTACTCACTTACAGCTCCACCTTGTTGTAGGACAGGCCAATGCAAGCAAAACAGAAATATACATAATATAATAATGATCAGAGAATACATTTGTAGGTGGATGTCACATTTTATGTCATTCTTTGCGGTCAATACTTATTAAAAATTAAACAAAAAAATGAAATTGATTCTCCAAGCATACTAGTGAAAATAATTAAAAGGATGTAATATAAGACTTTTTGACTCACTATGACGAACATAAGGGGAAGTACAGCATCACAGTCGATTGTAATTTGCACATTTTCAAACGACTACAATTGTTAAAAATATGTCTTAAAATTGTAACGTGAGAGATAGCTGCCTGTAAATACGTAGACAATGACCTGTTTGTTTCTGCTTATACGTATTGACCGCGTGAGTGCTGTGTTCTGGCTGCAGGTTTACGTATGGGTGCTGAACGATGAAGATGACTTCAAGAGAGCATTTGATTTGGGAGCCACTGGAGTTATGACCGATTTTCCCACCAGGCTTAAAAACTTCATAGAGAACAATGACCTGTCAAGGTCCAAGTGACCTACTCAAATCTATCTCATTCATCCTGCCTCTGCCCACACACACAAATGTACTGTATTCATTCCACCATGACAACCACTGTCATCATAGTTATACAAGACAGTCTGGTTTGCAAATCCACATAAAATCTACTGCACAGTCTAGTTTGCAAATCCACATAAAATCTACTGCAGCATTTGATATTGGAATCCTGGAGTGATATTATTTGTTTACTTTCTAATCACTGCAAAGCAATAAAAAAAAAAAAAACATTTGATCTTTTTAGATGCACGTACAGTGTAATGTTCGATACAATCAAGCCAAGTTCTTTACTACATGGTTTGAAACTTCAAAGTTGTCATTGTTTTAGTGATGCCTTTTACTTAATGGCACTTCTCAGTATTATTGCATTACATTGTAAAAATACCAGCAGGTGTAACTAGATCTAAATGTTAATGTTAATTGTCTAATTGCCATTTTTAAAATCAATTTATGTGATAGTGTTTGGATATATTAGAAAAACAGATTTCCAGATAAGTCTGATTGATTACAAGTGTGACTATATTACACACTGGTAATCATACCAAAGGGGCAACAATGAATGTAGTTTTGTTTTATATCCCACATGTTTAAAATATTATTTGTCAATAACTGTTCACTTTATTTCATTTTGTATATCAAAGCACTACCTGCTTAGTATTTGGTTTGAAAGTGCAATAAAATGTTTTGTTTAAATATACAGTTATTTACAACCTGGGTTTGGGTTAAATGAAAACACTGCATTCTCAGATGGTAATGTAAGGTTTAAAATATTCATATATATGCATTTTAAAAACAATTTAAAGTTCTTTAAACGTTCTGTAGATGGTTTAAGGGTACCAGCCGATTCCTCGTGGTGTCCAGCAGGTGGTAGTGCAGGCTAGAATTCCAGTTTCACAGTCACAGAAACGCAAATGTTTTTTTCTCCAGTCGAACAAAAAACATTTTAAAACAATGCAAACTCTATTCAAACTCACAAAATGACTATCGGAATATAACAGTTTTTTGTCTAAAATGCCTATTTAAAATGTATAAATACCGCGTTATTATTGGATACTTGCCTCTACATTTCGACCAATAACTATGCTGTTGCTACGGCCTTTCTGTTTATTTAATGGCGGAGACAGCTGCCATATTGTACTAAAAACACGCAAAGTTGTTCGTTGAGCGACGTTGGCCGTAATAACTTTTTCAAAATCTTACTTGAAATTTACAAATGAGAAAAAGAAAAACGTTTTTCTAAATTATTACTTTTTCAAAATCTTACTTGAAAAAGAAAAACGTTTTTCTAAATTATTTAAGACCAGCTATTTATTTATTTATTGTAATTTCTGTCTACAAACTATTGACTTCCCTACGTTTCTACGTCATCTCTGACTCTGATTGGTTAGTGGGCTACTCATTTCTTTCCTCAAGCGGTTGGCAGGTTATCAGTGTTTTAGGCAGACAATACCTGACTTTCACAGAAGACACCATTTCAATAAAGAGCCGAATAAAACGGCTGTTATCACTTTACTTGGGTTCAATGTAAAGTGTAAATGTAAACAACGAAATTAGAAACTATGTGACATAATGATATCTGTAATGAAACGCAAGCTATACAAATCTATCCAAATTTTGATTATGTTGTATTTGTCCTTTTCTCACGTGTGAAAAAAATAAAACGTATTCTTGGTATTCTCTAACACCTTGTCCAGCCTAGTCAATTTTGTAATGGTTTCAAAGACAAGGTATTTATTATTTTTATTAACTTTGACATGGCAGTAATTAAAACAACACAGAACTTGCTCGGCATGCTTTGAAAAGTTGACACTCCACTTGACACATTTTTCTGTTGATTTGTTTTAATGTATTCAATTTGACTAGAGCTGCCTTTCTTGAAAAGGTTTGTTTGTGTGCAATAATTTTGATCAAATATATTCTGACTACGCTTTGGGAAACAAACGCAATATTTTACAAGATAAAAATAAAACAAAACAGAGATAACCTCAACATGTCTACCTTGTCCCTGCGAACACGGAAGAGAGAAGGTGGGACTTCTCACACTCCAGCTGGTTTGTTCATCTCTCTCTGTGCATCCTCTAAACTCTGCTGGACGTCGCAGCTGAGCGTCAAAACATTGCGTCTCCCCAAGATTTCAAGTCATAGTAGAGAAAAAAAATCCTGGAAATAAAGAAGGAAGGAATGAATAGCAGCCTTTAGGACTGGCCCTGCCACGAAGGGAAACGAGGAGGTTCGACATCTTTCTGGACTACGTGGAGATCCGCTTTTTCTCCCCCTCAAAGGTAAATTTTAGGGTGAGCTGGTGCATTTTCTTGTTACGCACTGTTTTCAAAACAGTGCGTCGTGCACAGCAGTCGTGCACAGCAGCTTTTTAGTCGCGTTCACAATCACTGAGCCTACTTCAACAAATTTGAATTTATGACAACCTGATGTAAATAGTGTGTTTTGGTGTCACGTTTACAATAACACGTCTTGGTAACTATTCCCACGCGGGGACTCATGCGTGCTCCTCTCTTTTCTCCATCCTTAGATAAGATGTTAAAGATTCTTCGCCATAAGCTTCTGTTGCTGCTGGTTGGACTCGTGCTGTTTGTGGTGTTGGCAATCAGGCATGTCTGCGCCATCGTTCTTTGCGTGCGCGCGCCTTGGGGGATCAATGCTCGGTATCGCGAAGTGATAATGATGTTAACGTCAGCACCTGATTCTGACGGATTTGTCGAAGTTATTGATGCTAACAGCTATTATAATAATAATATGCCTGTTGGTGACGCGTGCGCGTGCGCGCGCCCGTCTGATTTTAGTGTCGCTGAGCTAGGGGCATTTCCACCATCTGTGCTCAGGATGAAGTTCTGACCCAGATCAGGTGCACCAGTTACTGTTGTGACACGCACACAAACTCTCTCTCTCTCTCGCTCTCTCTCTACCTCTCTCTACCTCTTTCTCCCTCGTAGTAGTAATTAACAGACAGAAAACGGCTGTTAAATTTTTTTTTAAAAATATTCCAGTTATTTTCATATCAGTATAAAACAAAGATTATTAGATATTAACATCTTGAGCAGGTTAGAGTTACATACACAATCTGTCCCACAATTAGCCAAAACTGGAATAGTTCATATGTTGTACAAATGATAGATTTTTAGATTTTTTTTGCTCTGAACAAGCCTGGTGCAATTTACATTCACAAAAGTTTCTAAGAATAGTTTTCTTTTCTTGAAGCTGACTTATAATTATTATCTGGAGGATTAAAAGTTATTCCAACTTTCATCTATGAAGTAACCATGTAGGGATTTTTTTTTTTTTGCTTCCACAGAGCTTACTGCCAGAAACCCACTAAAACTGTCAAGCCTCAACAAACTTTAACAGATATTCTCGGACCACACTGTAGACCACAACTCCAAACGTGCAGTTGGTTTGCAGTTGCATGCTACATGCAACACATGTCGTTGCAAAAGCTTCAGGTAAATGTACTAAGCAAACCACACTATTCCGGGCGTAATGTTTATGAGTTGTGTTAATAAATACAGTATCTCTGTCATCATTGGACGCATCAGTGATGCTCTTATCAGTCCACCTTTAATACAAACAATTAAACATTTTGTGTAATATACTTTGTCAGCTGTTATATTTAAATTTTCCTTGATAGGTAGTAAAATCAGGGTGTCATGCTTTGTCCTCAATTTTCCTCTAAATGGGATTATATTTTACAAAATCGGCAATGTCATGTGCCGTTACAAATGACATCATTGGAACTCCATGACCGTAGATGATTAAGGAGAATGTTTATTATTATATAATATTTAATTATATTTACTAAAAGGGTGACTAATTCAAAATCTGATAGTAAGGTAGGTATTATTTATCTATTAAAAATTAACAAAAATCTGATTGTTATAATTATAAGTTCCTGGAATACCTAGTGTGGATAGGGCTCCCTCCTGTGGCAATTCAAAATAAGATACTCAAACTGTATGCTGACTAGCTATAAGCTTTAGCTTTGTAACGCAACCTGCATTAGTTTAGACAAATTACGCTTTTCAGACATAGAATATGAGTATTATAACTGACATACAATCAAATGTTTCTAGATGTTTCTCAGAGTAGTGCATAGTAATATTGACTTGTAGTCTATATATTGTTTTTCATACTCCTTTCGGTGTAGAGTTGTTTGCAAGTGGTCAAGTATCTATATAATGTATGTAATGTACAGTGTTCCCTCTCTATATCGCCGCTCTCCTTACGCTCCCTCAGTACATCGCAGATTTTTTTTTAAATCCGATCTCACAAAATTTGATCGCTATATCGCTGAATTAGGCAAACAATAAACTAAAATACATTGATAAAATAATTATACATAGCGAAAAATTGAGATAAGCCCATTTGCAAATGATCGCTGGTAGCTTTGTTTACCTGCAGTAGATGAGATTGTACACAGAATGCTATTGGCTAACACAACGCATATTCTGTGTCCCATTGGCTGATTTGAGCATGCTCTTCTGTTCCCCACGCTGATTGGCTCGTGCATCGCAGCATCTCTGAGCATCTCCCCTTGTCTGTTGGCCACTCACTTGTTCATTTTGTTCTGCGTTTGCCACTCTACAACGTACTGTGTTGGAAAGGGTAATACAGTCTAGGGATGGTTGATAACAGTGTGGGGGAGGTTTGTAAAGGGTATATATATACGTAAATAATATAATAACTATCTGGCCTCTACGATTTTTCCCATTTCGCAGTGGGTCTTGGAACGCAACTTTCGCAATAGGAGAGGGACCTGAGATGCAGAGGTTTCGTCTTATCACAGAGATCTAATTCGGGCAGGGAGGCACACGAGAGCTTTTGCCTCCTCCACTTAATGATGTCATCCTGCTGCTGCTGCTGTTGCTGCTGTTGGCCTTAGTGCAAAACTGAATGGAGGACAGAATAAGAGAACATTAAATATAACAAATGTCGATGATATAGTGCCTTAGCGCAAAACTGAATGGAGGAGAGAATAAGAGAACAATAAATATAACAAATGTCGATGATATAGTTTGTGGTCAGAGTAAGATGAATGGTTTCGCTGGAGTGGAACACCAAAAAGTCTCCCCTTTTGTCTTGTTTTGTTCTGTTTTTGTTTTTTGTTTTAACTCCTTGTCCCCATTTGACTCTCTTCTCCCCTCCCTCCCCCTTCTCACGATCACTGTCACCAGCAGCAGCCGCAGCATCAGTGCGGGACCTTACAAAGGTTTTTTTGTTGAAGCACAGAACGGCCCTTTTGCCTGATGTGACTCGGGACGTAACCTTTTGTGTTGACACACAGAAATGGCCCAGTGACCTGAAATGACCCGAGGCTAGGTCGAAGACTGAAAGCAGAAACAATTATGAACAAACGTGCAGAGAGGCAGATAATGGAACAAGACAGTCTGAAGGTAAACTGCTAAACGATGGATGGTCCCTATAATGTTATGCAGGCGCTCGGCTGATGTCTGCCGACGTCTCTGCGTTGATGGATATCTCTGCTGGTGGAAGAGACTGATTGGGTCCCTGGAAGTGCTTTCATTATAATCGTCTGATCATTCATGCAGTATTTGTTCGGCCAAGGTCTGGTATAAATCATCAGCCTGTACCAACTCATCAGAATCAGCATTTTACAACTCCACACCCAGCCTGCCCACTAACATAGTTGTTTGAAGCATGTCCACCCATGTTTGGTAGAGTAAGTGCAATGTTAAATAGCATTATAAGGCCAAAACAATTCACCGTTGGCTTTATGGATGATTCTAGGCCTGAAACTTAGTGCTGAGGCAAAGGAAGCGAACTCACCTTAGTGGCTTAGTTTTTACTCCTTCGCTCCTCTCACAGGCGATTGAGATATTTGCGGAGTGAACAAGAGAACTGCTGCAAAAACAGTAAAAGTTGCTACACTGGGAGAAGTGCAATGGCTTATTGTAATTGGTGTGTAACCGTAGAGTCAAGATTAAGGTAATCTCTGTTGTTTAAATATCAAAACAAAGAATAACCTGCAGCAAAACAAGACCGGTGGGGAGAGATTTTTTTTTGGAAAATACTCTTGTCGTGGCAACATACAAGAGGGTATTTTGAGGTTCAAGATTTAGTTTGGAGTTAGGAGTAGAGCCAGAGTTGGGATTAGTCATATATACGGTTAGGAGTAGAACCAGAGTTGGGATTAGTCATATATACGGTAATTTGAAATGGTCAAGATTAGGGTAAGAGGCTAAAAAAAAGCAGACAGTGGGGCCCCAAGGATACGAGTTTAATCCGTTCCACAACAGCACTCATTTTCCCCATTAAAAAAAAAAAAACAAAAAAAAAAACAATTAATACGTTCCAGCCCCGCAAAAATATTATGTTAAATATTAATATTATATGTATTATAATATTAATATATATTATATTAATATTAATCAAATTAAAATTCCTCCTCTATCTAAATATGAAAAAACATACATATAAACAGATATATTGATAATATAAAATAATAATAATTAAGAAAACGTCTTATATTATTGTTATAAAATGGGTAAAATTACGCAGCGAGGGACAGTTAGCGAGACAACGCGACAGAGTGTCGGGCTACTAAGGTAGGAGGACTGGATTTAGATGATATATATATATTTATATATATATATATATAGAGAGAGAGAGAGAGAGAGAAATAAAGCGATGGGTAAAATAACCAAGCGAGGGGACAGTGAGGGAAACAGTGAAAGTGAATCAATATTATTATTGCCTGAAAACGTCCTGGAGCTCCATATCCCCGCCCCGGTCTTTCCTCTTAAAATGTCTGAGAGGAGAAAACAACAGGCTGTGCGTGTGTTTTGTCTGTGTGCGTCTTGGGGTCAGCCCTGACCAACTGTACTAAGCATGCCTTTGTGCCCCACTCCCACGCTGCTGGCATGGAGTCAGTGGAGAGTTTCATTGCCCTATTCATTTTTTTTTTACACTCTGCTCCTTCTTAGTAGCACTTGAGCCCCTGTCAGCTTGCGTTCGAAAACTAAAAACAGTCAAACTGGAGATCTGTGCAGTCTGGCTCTCTCTGTTTTCCTGTCGTTTGTCTTCAAATTCAAGGAGGCCCCCCCCAGCTCCCATCCTGTACTGTGTTAGTTTTTCCAGATGGTTCCGTAAAGACAGACAGGAAGAAGAGGAGACGCATCAGGGACAACATGCTGTCAGAGTGATGAATCAACAACAACAATTTAAAAAAAACAGCCATAATGAATGGAATTTTGGGAAGGTAATTTATGAATAAAAGTAGAAAATTGAGGCTAGGTTTTCTTAATAGGAAAGGAGCATTGGAAAAATGTTAATTATTGAGCTTCATAGGAATCATCATCTTAGATAAGATTTTGTTTAATATATGACAAACATTATTGGAAAATCAGTGAACCCCAGGGGCTTCATCAGGCATGGGCAAACTAAGGTCAGGGGTCAGCTTTTTAATCTGGCCCTCCAAACTTTTCCAAATTATGTAATATATAATTTATTTATGCTATAGTTATACTTCTGCCATTTCCCTGCAATGCCCAGGTTTCCTCATTAAATGGTGTAGAAAATTATAAAAGCATTTGAGCATTTTAGCCTTTATGCGTGACTTTTACATATCATGTATCTTACGAAGGCTCCATCTATCTGCCCCTCACCCGGCCCCCCTGTTCAATTTTAGGTTCCAATTGTGTTCAACGAGTCAAAACGTTTGCCCACACCTGGGCTACATGGTGGAAAGGTGCTAAGTGCTCTTGCCTTACATCAGTACTAGTCCCACTATGGGGGGTGAGGTGCAGTGAGGGTGAGGTGCCAGGAGTAGTGAGGGGTTGGGAGTGAGAGGCGTCCAATGGAATATGGCACGGGTGCTATGTACTCTTGCCTTACATTAGTACTTTTCTCCAGTCACTAGGTGGCAGCAACTCATACAGTAACCTGTACAAATAACAAAATACATATTTTCAGGTTCTCAACAGGATTTCAATATAGGATTCCTTCCACAGTCCAAAAAATTGTTCACTCTAAATCACATTTGCCAAACCCAGGACCTGTGAGCCAATCTGGTTCACCATGTCATTTTATCTGGCCCACCTATGCTTAACATGCATATGGTTGTCATAAAATAAAAGTCTATCAAGTGTATACTGATGTTCACTGGATGGGTCGAATGCAGTGGACATCTGGAGCCTGACTACCCTATAGATTTTTAATTTGTATAGACTTGTATAAGCAAACATTTTTCCCATCGAAATTAAACTGTGATTGGTCAAAATCTACTATCAGTATCAGTAGTGTATGAATTTTGCCCTTGATCTTATGTTTAATAGCTACATTGTAAACAAAGCTTAATGTCCTTTTAATGTCCTTTTAGCACTTAGCACTATTTCTAATATGCTAATGTTCCCTTAGAGCAGTTTCTCCATCATTATTGCCAAAACGTCTGATTACAGCGATAAAAAAACCCACCAAGATAGGCCTATTAGAGCAAATGTCTTGAACCTCTTATCAGTTTCAAGTATGTGCATGCTTCTGTCCATCTTGGCTCCAGCCCTTGGAAAAAGTTCCCAGGCTAGCAATGCTAATCTGTCTCAGTCACGAGGGCATACCAGCAGAAGTATTTTAAGGGCTCGGCCTATTTGGATATCATGAGCATAGCACGATCCTCACAGTCGTGCTAAAGATAAGCAGATTATCCCTGCAGTCTCTCAGACTTAAATACAGAATATGGGTGAGCTGTGGTGCCCATGTGAGACCTTGATTCACCGGCACAGAAATACAACTGTCTCGGCAATGAAAATAAAAATAGTAACTTCGCTTCTTATTAATGGCTGCCGCTCTGTGAAGCTGAAGACCTTAGCATTAACATTATGCTAACTCACCTATCACTCTAATTCTAACATGGTAATAATAATTGCCTGCTGACTTTGGTATTGCTGCTTCAGTGACAGGGTCACCAGTTTGGGTTCAACCAAGGGTCATGGGCACATTCTCAGGATAAATGGGCCATGATAGGTGTTCTGTGATTGGTTGTTTGCTTTGTTACATTTTTGTGGATGTAGCTGTATGGATAGCAGGTAAGTCTTAAGTGGTTGAGTGTGAGGGGGTTGAGCATGAGAGGCTTCTAATGGAATATGGCCCGATGGACACGCTGGACACAATGCTCAAACGATAAACAAGCCTCCAGCCATTAGGTGGCAGCAACTCATATAGTTGTTTGCACAGATATATGTATATATATATATATGTATATGTATATATATGTATATGTATATATATATATATATATATATATATATATATATATATATATATACAATATCATATATTGTGATATCAGCACAAGAACTGTTGAAGAATATTTATTTAATATTATTTTCATCATGTTATAATGATTCATGACACCATTATTTCACTCTGTCCATGTCCTCACATAGAACGAAACTGAACAGGACAGGAGCTCAGCTTCGCAGCCGAGACACGAATAGACTATTAAGTTATGCTGCTGTTGTTGGGGCAGTTGTGCCCGCGGTTATGAAACTATTGTTAGACTGAAACATTGAAATATGCCAATTCTGCTATATTCATATACTCAAAATGGAGGGAGCAACCTGACGCAGAAAAAATTATCTTACCGTTTTGAGGTCATATGCTGTTTGTAATCAAGCTGTGATATACAAACTGTTGCCTTTTTCCCGTTACCTATTTTTGCTAAATACTGCCATACTGTTGATGCAACTTGTGTTTCACACTGTGCATCTCCTCACATAGAGCGAAACTGAACAGGAGCTCAGCTTTGCAGATGAAACACAAATAGACTATTAAGTTATGCTGCTGTTGTTGGGGGCGGTTGTGCCTGCAACCATAAACCAGCCACTAGGGTACACTAGGGTACACAAGCCAGTGCTACTATAGTGATACTATAGTGCAGGCCCCATGCCTGGATAAATGGTGAGGGTTGCGTCAGGAAGGGCATCTAAGGGCAAGTAAAACTTTTAGCCAAATCAAATATGCGAATCACTAAAACGATTTCCATACCGGATCGGTCTTCTAAAAAAGGGGAAGACTGCCATACTGTTGATGTCTGCGACATGGTAGAGGAGACTGACTATAAAAAAAGCCATTAAATGAATATTCTGCAAACCAGAATAAACCAGAGAGAGAAAACAAAGAGGGTGTAACTCTGACCTTGAACTTTCCTACCAATGTTAACTTCATCAGTAGGAAAGTACCAAAAATGGACCAATAAGAATTTAGGTCGAACCAGGACACATTGACCGATAAATCGACTGAGAGATTACATCCCTACATATTATCAGGTTCTCAATAGTATTTCAATTTGTGAGAACATTTTTGTCCCCAAGTGGTGTATGACAGAAAATAATTGAAATCCACAAATCAACGAAACATGGCTCAAGCCTCGAACCTTTTCATTTGTCAACATCCCACCACCTAACCTTTCCTACCGTCTGCCCTCTGCTCAGGTGTTCGCCTCCCGACCCACCACCGACCACGGCCCTCACCTGTGTGTTGCGGTGCTTCCCTTGTGAGCCGACCTGGGCTGGCAGTCCCTTTTTGCACCGCCCGCCAACTCCGCCCATGGTCAGAATGACGCGCTCCAAGACGTTCCAGGCATATCTGCCGACCTGTCACCGGACCTACAGCTGCATTCACTGCCGAGCTCACCTGGCCAATCACGATGAGCTCATCTCTAAGGTACAGTGACAATTACCGTAATTTCCAGTGTATAAGCCACTACTTTTTTCACACGCTTTGAACCCTGTGGCTTAAACAATGATGCGGCTAATTTTCAGATTTTTACGCGCTAGCAAAGTTCTACCGCTAGCGGTCAATGACTTTTCTGGTAGGCTACTGTGTTATACTATTAGCGTATGTCTGTCTGTGAATGGCTGTCTGTGTATATCTGCGCAGGGCACGTGCAAGGGAGAGAACAGTAGCGAAAGTTGAGAGCAGTTTGTAGCCCTGTCATGTTGAAGCGTGAGTTGGTTATACAGGAGCTGTTGAAACACTGTTTATGTTCTGTTGTGGTCGGTGTGGCTGATAATAAAGACCACAACTTCCCTGTTTCTGTTTACCTCTGCTGCGGACAAGCACAAAGTGAAGGGAGTTAGCCCCGGAGCTAATGTTAGCTTCGGCCCTGGAGTAAATCACTAACACGCCGAAGCAGTAAGGAGCTAATGTGTAACCAGCCGTGACTCAATAGTCTGGAAATTACAGTAGTAAGTTACAGAACAGTAGTAATGTAGTAAGTTACATAACCAGACGGTATCTGAGGTGACTCTGCTCTCTGTGTTAGTAGCATTTAGCAGTTAGCAGTATGTCCACATGGTAAAATGATTATATAGCTTACAGCGGGGAATGGAAACGCTCAAACTTAAACAGTAAACAGCGTCACACCTAAACGCTGCAGTTTTGTGGTCTTTTGTGGTCCGTCGTGCACTGGGGTTTGGAAGTGATAAAAAATAGAGTCAAAATGTCAGATTAGAGGGTGGAGATCTTTCACTTTGACAAGCAGTATTATACAAGTACCGTAGTGTGGCTGGAGCCTCGGCCTCTGTTCGATTTGTGGAAGTGCGTGCTACACAGTTTCGAGTGAATCAGAATCAATCCAGTGCGCAATGAGGCTGAGTGATGACGTGATTACGAATGTAATACTCACAGCAATCACGTCATAGAGAATCTATGCATCCGGATATAGAAGCACAATAGAAGTGATTTTAATATTTCTCTGTGAGCTTGTTTTTGGCCTTCTGTAGCAGATGTAGCAGCAGATTTGTCTGAGTTTGCTCTTGTAAACTGGCTGCATTCTGTTGCATGTTCAATATGTTTGACATCCTACCAAACAAGCAGGGCTTAATGCAGGCGTGTTTCTAATGCATTGCGAAGCAATAATATCAGACATGGCAAGTGGTTGTTTTCGGCATTGACATCAGGTTTCTAATTCTCAATTTTATATTGTTCTGGTTCTGATCCATATTGTGCTCAGTTTCCAGAATATATGATGACTGGATGAGTGGATTGGCTATATTGAGCTTTCACAAAAATGACATTGTGTATGGATAAAGGTCTACAACTTCAAAATGTATTTTCCCAATTAAAGCATTTTTTACTTGTCATCTGAAGTCAACATTAATGTCCCCAGGTGCTAGATTTGGCTGTGCATTTTTTTTTTAATTGGACCTCATTGGTAATTTACCTTTAATACCATTTTAATTTATTGCTTGTAATGGTGTGATTTAATCTTCGATCTATTTAGATTTTTATCAAATGCCACATAACAAATCCTGTCTTGGAGCAGCCTTAAAGGTGTAAAGAGGGAGAGAGAGAAAGTGAAAAATGGCGCATTACTTGTTGTAACTGCTTTGTTGTTGTCTTGTCTCTACAGTCATTCCAAGGAAGCCAGGGACGGGCCTATCTCTTCAACTCTGTGTGAGTATCTCTACTCATGTCATCTTAAACAACCTAATCCTTCTCTGTGAGTTTGTTAAAAAAAATGTTAAAAAAATATTTCTGTAGTTTACTTAGAATAATACCAATATGCTAACACTCCCAGATGTTACAAACTTTAAAGCTACAGAGTAGATTAAACCTGTCCGTGCCTTGCAGCACTGTCGTAACAAAAATGAAATGCTTGTGAAAATGTGAGCGCATATATCTTAGGTTTCACGGCTGTGTGTGTGCCCAGTGAGTGGGTGTCAGGTAGTGAATCACTCGTAGGCACACGTCGTACAGTACATGCATCTAGGCCACTGTTACTTGTCTCACTTTCCTGTCTTTCCCTTTTTTTTTTTTCTTCCTTCCAATTTTCTACACACACACACTGATTTCGCCACTCTCAGGGTGAACGTTGGGTGTGGTCCTGCAGAGGAGAGAGTTTTGCTCACAGGCCTGCATGCCGTGGCAGATATCTATTGTGAGAACTGCAAGACAACCCTGGGCTGGAAATATGTAAGTGTAACTTGGCTGATTTGATGTGAGGCTGCACCAACTGCATCCAGTGTGAGCAGAGGATGAACCGGGAGGCTGCTCTTTTAGCACAGCCTAATTTTATTTGGACCTCTTCCTCTTCCTTACCTCTCAGGGTCGGTGTAGCAACTGAAATTAGAAAGTCAAAGAATAACAGCAACCTCCCTGCCCCCCTCAAAAAACAAAACAAAAAAAAAAACAACAAACAAACAAAAAAGTATTCTGATTATAATAAACAACTAAATACTTAAAATGTTTTAAATTGTGGCCCCTGAATCTATAATCTATGAAAGTTTAACTTTTTGAATGGAATTATGGATATAAATAAGCTCTCTCAGTACATCGCAGATTTTTTTATTTTTTTAATCTGTTCCGCGGAAGTTTCGCCATATCACGTTTTATTGCGGGAAATATATTTTTTCGATACAAAACATTTTCTAACCTAAAACAATTAAACAGTAAAATTATAGCAAAAAATAAACTAAAATACATTATGAAATAATTATCACCGTTACATAGTACATTGCTGTACTACGATGCCTCACCATTGCATAGTACATTGCTGTACTACGATGCCTCCTAAATGCTCTGATCATCTTCTCAGGCTTCTGTTACGAAGCCTAAACGAAGATGCTGACACAGATAACAGTTAACAGTTAACAGCCTTTATTTGTCTTTACAATAATGTGTGCTCCTGTGCTGTGTCCAGCTTTCATATATTGCCCCTGGCTCATAAGCACCTGGTAAACCAGCTTCAGAAGTAGATACTTTTCTGTGCAGCTTCTATTCCTATCAGTGTCCTGCAAGGCAAACAAAACAGTGATCACATGCATACACAAGCTCACAAGCACCGGCCCTAATACAGGAATGAAACCAGTATCAGTTGCAGCAGTGTTGATTTTCTGCACCGGTCAAAGTTATAGCAAGGAGCCTGACCTACTGCACTTCGACAGCCGGAAATGTGATCGTATACATGTGCAGCAGTGGCCCAAAATAACCGAAGAGAAAAATAAGTACACATGTTGTGCAGTGACTGCTGTGTTGTTGTTGTAAGAGACTTATAGGAAGAGAGGTGGACTTCAAAAATAAGGAATATAGAAGGACACGTTTTTTTGTTATGACAGTATTGGCTATTAGGACTGGCTGAAGGAGTCAAATTTTGTATTTTGTATATTTTTGTTTGTATTTATAAGTTGCTTTCATTACCTGTTTGGATGCGACATCAAAGCAACATCAGTTTTTTCCAAGGAAATCTACATCTGTCAAATGACCATATGTTCTGGACCATAGGTCAAAATAGCATAATGAAGAAAAACAAAACATATATAAGTCGCTCTGGAGTATAAGTCGCACCAGCCAGTCAGAGCGACTGTCTGTGTGAAAATAACAAACATGTAAATTTGCAGTAATGCAGGAGTAGCAGATACTGCTACACAAGCCTAGCATGCCCTCTAGCAGCTGTCGGTGTGAAAATAACAAACATAAAAAAAATTTGCAGTGGTACATGAGTAGTAGATACTGGTACACAATTTGCAGTGGTACATGAGCAGTAGATACTGGTACACAAGTCTAGAGTGCCCTCTAATGGCCGTCAGAGTGAAAATAACAAACATGTGACATTATATATTTTAATGTATACGTCACACCTAAGTATAAGTCGCAAACCCAGCCAAATGATATCCGGAAAATACAGTAACACTTTTAGGGTTTGTAGTAAAACAATATTATTGTTAGTAATGTTATCATATGTTCTTCTTCACCTTCTTAATTATTTCATCATTTCTTCTTCTTCCTCTGTTCGTCTTTCTCCTCATCTCTTCACCATCATTTTCTTCTTCTTCTAAATCACCACAGGGATTGGTCCAGTAGATCTGGTATTTGTTCTCAACACATGTCCAAACTGCTCCACCTTAACTGTCTCTCTGTCTACTCATTTATAGACCTGTCCAGCCTCGTCACTCTGATTCAGTGAGAATCTCAGCATCTTTATTTTTTTTCCACCTCCACCTCAGCCTTTAGTCTATTACACAGAGCCACTGTTTAGAGTAATAGTATAATAATTATATAATAATCTATAAATAACTTACTCATAAAACAGTTATGTTAAAAATACACGATAAAGCTGTTCACTCGCATCTCGCCAACAGCTAAAAGTGACACCTTCGATGTTTACCAAGGTTTTCTTTGTAGACGCAAGCAAGAAGACTCAAAGGAAGAAGTTTGCCGAAAAAAAAAAAAAATCTATTTATTGTAATTCCAAATGCTTACACAAAATGGTCCGCAGGTCTGAGAAACAAAAAAGCATCTGGAGAGTTATAGCATTCAACAATATTTCGCAGCAGTGAAGAATTGTCGATGTAGATGCTTAGGACAGTAACTCAGTAATTTAGCCACTCCCCCAGTAAGGGGGGAGTGGCTAAAGTAACTGACCAAAAGAGAAGGGTCAGGAATTGTTTCTTTGAGGTGTTTGGGACAGAAATTTACAATGCTGAAAACGGTATTCCAGGGTTAGGGATTTGCGTAGATGTACTTAGCCGTACATGTGCACAAGTTTGGGGTTACGTGTTTTTGCCCACCACTTCCAACCGCGCCAAAGCAGGTAACACCCCACACATTGGTGCAGAGCGTGGCATTCACACTAGCCCTAGGTATCCTCGCTTAAGGGGGCAATCACGCTTTGGCGAGGTACAACAGTGTGAGTGCAGCCTAAAGGTCTTGTTGAAAGTAGACCTGAAGGCACCAGAAAGATGTAAACCTAAATTCTAACACCAGAAATGAAGAAATGCATCAAACCACATCAATGAGCCAGATCTTAATTTTAACATTCACGTAAGACAACATCCAAAACAAAACCATAATTTTGTGGCTGTTTTGTGTTCCGGCAGGAACATGCCTTTGAGAGCAGTCAGAAGTACAAGGAAGGCAAGTTCATCATCGAGCTGGCCCACATGATCAAGGACAACGGCTGGGACTGAGGGCCAAAGAGCTGATAAATTAAGACCACTGCAGTGGAGAAGAAGAGGAGGAGGAGGGGCCTGGGTGGCAGGATGTATTTGATGGACACATGGTTGGGAGAAGGTGAAGGAGCAGGGGTTGGAGTGCGTGTGTTGGGTGAGTGTGTGACTTTGGTTTGGCTGATTTACCATTAACCTTTGTAACATCCCTTCCCCACCATGACTCTTGATATAGACACACATCCAAACCACGTCAAGGGCCCAGACATCCCAGCTTGACAGAGATACAGACTTGTAGGAAGCGAGATTGACAGGCGACCGGCGTGACGGTAGTATCTCTTAAAACATGATATAACAACTCCTTGATTGTGATAACACTCTTCCTACTTTACTAGGAAAAATGTGAAGTATTCTACTTTGAACCTGTTGATTCCGAGGAAGGTCAAGGGTTTTCACTAGAAAAAGTCACAGTGGACACAGACCTGTAGGGTTTGTTACTGGCCCTAAAAGAAGAGCTCACAGATGTGCTGGTCAGGGGCAGTGGTGGCTTTGTGGTTAAGGAAGGAAGAAGACTTGGGTCTGGAAGGTTTCAGGTTCGAATCCACCACCTGCCAAGTTACCACTGAGGCGCACTGAGCCTGGCACTGTCCCTGCACACTGCTCCGGGCACTTAAAGCTGCCTACTGTTGACTTTTCCTTAAAACTAACAGCCAGCTGGGCCTATGATAGCGTCCTGTGTCACTGGAGATTGACACAGAGGTTCCAGAATGTGGGCGTTGGATTGGCTAAGGCTTACTCAGCTGAAAGCCGAGGAAGGAGAAGAAGATCATCATCAAGGTAATGCAGTGGCTTATATGTTCCTCTGAGTGGGATCCACTCCATGACTTGATAGTGATGTGGCTGAAGAGAAGCAGACGGCGAACAAAACCTCGCAGGAATCTGCAGTAGAGCAGCTACTGCGGTGTTGATTCATCGTTTGATACACAGTCACGTCACGTAAAGTGATCCGCTGAGCCCACCCCCACCCGTAGATCAGGTCAGATTTGTTCAAATGTCTCTGACTAAGAACTTTGGCCGAGACAGTTGTAGGTTCGCCAGCACTGTGAGCAGTTCTCTCTGCTGATGTAGGTCAGCGAGCATAAGTGACGGAGCTCTTAGAAGGCTTAGGAGGGGGCCATGTAGGAAAATCCTCCAGACACAAACACAGCAGCTGTTTCTGAGAAACAGAATGACAAATGCATGTCTGCTTTCAGACAAGCAAGACGTGTCGTGCAGGTGCACATTTATCAAAGGGCAACTTTTTTGAGGCTCTCTTTCAGTCTGGGATGACTGCTGTTTCACTAGTGGCACTTCCGTCACTTACAAACACAACCCAACGTTTGAAAATGCGCCACTAGGGCGTTCGGTATCTTCATATTCTCCTGCATCTAATGTACATGTAATAATTACTTATCTTGCCTCAATTTGAAGTGTTGTCTAGTTTTCCCCACCTTAGCCCATAATACCTGAGGGAAATGTTGCATTGCTCACGTGCATTGCTGCTAACTTCAACGTATTCAGTGTCACATGCCCAGTTGTCGGACGGAAATGTATTGTTTTCACCAATCAATTTTATCACATCCACCGCCATGTAATCCCTTGCATATGCAAGTCAAAGTGTAGCATGATCGGAAACTATGGTTATTATTATTAGTATTGTTTTGTGTCATTTAAACCTTCAGCTGTAATAAAACACAAGTGGTTCCATTCCAGACAATTTGAGCAGCGGGATAAAAAAAAAAAAAATCTCATCCTGGTTTTGAAAAGCTAAACGAGTTGCCCTGTCACATTTGCCGACTCTGCTGTAATTGTGGACATTGCTTTAAAACCTTTCCCTGTACTTATCCAATGCTGTTAACTCCATCCTAAGCAGCTAGCAGTTCGGTAATACTCAGCAGCTGACTGCTCAGTCTGAGGCTGCCACATTTAACCCAGCACAACCAAAGAACCCACCCATCATCAATAAGTTGACCAAACAATAGATCTCTTTTTGCTTGGGGCAGTGTCGCAGAACAAGGGTGTGTTTGACTCTGTGTGTGTGTTTGTGTGCTGAAGGCCAAGACTGTGGTTTGGCCTTTCCCTGTGATATATATATATATTATATTATTGCATTTTGATTTTGTAAACAAAATAAATCTTAATATATGAATAAATTCTATTGACTCTGCGTTACAGACTGTATATAGTTTTAATGTGTTGTGTTTCCTCCATGATCCCTATAATAATGATGATGATGATGAATGAATATGATTTTGGTCATGTCATGCTTTCTCTCTAGTCTCCCACATTGGCTGTACAATATGACTTTTTTTACCGAAAAAAATGTTTCAATTTTAATGTCTTTTGTAAAAAGGAGGATGAAATGATGTTGACTACATATCATTGGATATTCATCTATTAAAAAGCACCTTGAAATCCTTGATTTGCCATGGACAAACATTTATTATCTAAACACTGTATGCCAGGAGTCACCACCTACCGTATACAGGTCCGAGTACAGGTCACACCAGCCAAAAAATGCATAATAAAGAAGAAAAAAAACATATATAGTCGAACATGTAAATTTGAGTTACAGATACGGGTACAAAAGCCCAGAGTGCCCTTTAGCGGCTGTCAGTGTGACCAAGTCCAGCGTGCCCTTTAGCGACTGTCAGTGTGACAATAACAAACGTGAAATTATGTATTTTAATAAATAAGTCGCACCTGAGTATAAGTCACAAACCCAGCCAAAGGATGAAAAAAAGTGCGACTTATAGTCTGAAAAATACAGTACAGTGGAACCCCGAGATATGAGCACCTCGACATACGAGTATTTGGAGATACTAGTCAGCCACAGAGCAAATTTTTCGCTTCAGGATACGAGCAGTTGGAGCACTGGGAACACCTCGGGATCCCCCCATAAGAGCTGGAAAAAGTGTCTGGGTAGAGGGAAATCTAGACGTCCCTGTTCCGACTGTTACCCCCGCTACTCGGCCCCGGATAAGCGTAGGTTGATGGATAGACAAATCGGAAAAAAAAAAAAAAAAGTCAGTTAAGTTAATTCTAGGTTTATGTAAGTTACCTAGTGTACGTGTAAGGTATGTTACGGAATCAAGTGTCCACATACGGGCCAACTCTCTTCCTCCCCTTCCTCCCTCCCTCCTCACATACGGGCCAACTCTCTTCCTTCCTTTCCTCCCTCCCTCCTCATCCGCACATGCCGCTATTAGCTGCTACTGTATCGTCTGTATCGAAGATAAGAACTCTAAGAGGCTTGAAAGACTTTTTAATTTGCTACCACTGTGTGTACGTGGGAGGCATGCGAGGAGGTTGCAGTAAGAGTCACACCTTTTAGTCATACATTAATCACACATCTGCGTCACATCTTCTCCCCCTCCACCCCCCTAGTTGCCTCTTCTCCTCACATCTTGTTTTCCTCCCTTTCATTTTTATCTTTATCCTCCTCTCCTCCCTCTCTCCTCTTCTCTACCCTCCCCTTTTCTCTCCCTGTGGGGTTGTTTTCAGTCATCCTCCAGGGTGGATTTCTCTCTGTGTCTGACTTTGCCGCTAACCCACTCCAAAAATCTCACTGCAGCAGATGGTGCTGTGTTTGCATTTGGACAGGTCTCCTAGCAACTCTCCCCCGTCCTTATCTGTCTCTCCACTCCCTAAGCGGGGCAGTGTCTGAAACAGCTGGCGTCATGAAAGTCCTGCTGTGTCTGGGCTCAACTGTGCCCACCAACATGGCTGTCCCTGATGGACAGTGTTCATCTGGGCTACATTACATGGTACAGTCTAAAGCATCGCATCTGACACACTAACAATGACACAACATCGGGTATGCTGTGCGTGCAGCACAGAGAGCAGGTCGAATGAGGACAGACGTGACAGGTGTGCGTTACTCTCTGCTTTCAGACTCGCTGTTATGTTTCAGCTGTAACGGCCTTGGAACAGGCCTCGATGTTGCTGGTGTTAGCCTACATTTACTGATGTAGGTCTTTGGGTGTAGAATGAACATTGTCGGTGGCTCTGATGATGAAGTTTCATCTGCTTCCCTCCATTTCCCAAAGATCCCTCCAGATCTTACGATGTTCTAAATTTTCCCACCTGGTGGGTGCCTTTGCACCCCTTTATTCCTCCTCTTGTCACCGGACCTCCTGATCTACCAGCATCCTTCTCTCAGTGCCAAGTTAGTGGCCAAATTAGCGGCCATATCCCAGTCCAGCTTTCTCCTTTTGTACATGCCCTACGATGTCTTGAGGCTTGAGAGCATATGTTGCCTGTTCTATAGACTCTGATGCAGTCCATTTCCTCCTAGTTACCAAAATAAGAATGTCACCATTGCACTTATGGGTAGATTGTTTTCTGTGCTATTTACCAACATAACAAACCATCCAACAGGAGCCTAGTTGCAGGCAAAAACATTGTTGAACTGCGGGTCCAACAAGGAATCTATTGTGAATTTGAATCGTTTTTGCTGATGTTTTGTCATCTTTTTTCCTTTAAAATAGACCTAAAATTGCTTTGCAACCATTGTCTCAACACCTAACCTACTGTATGGTTATGTCCCATCAGTATAAGCTTTGAGGTTTGTGCTCAAGCATCAAGGTATGGTTTTGTCATATGATTACCCATAACTATTGTCTTTAAATTGTATCTGCTGTTTGTTGATATTCATAGTTTGGGCCGCTCACAAACGAGCAAATCTTAATGAGCTTTTACAGAGAAACCTGTAAATCATCATCCATTATGCAAAACCACCATTGTCACAAAGTCAATCGGGTGAGAACAATCATCTATTATGCAAAACCACCATTGTCACAAAGTGGAAATTGACAACTCCACTGATAGCCACAATCCCTCTCCTCGCGGTAGTCGCGTTCCAAGACCCACCGGGAAAAGGGAAAATCTGCGAAGTAGAGGCAAGATAGTTATTCAATTATTTACGTATATATTTAGCCTTTACGAACCTCCCCCACACTGTTATCAGCCCTCTCTAGACTGTATTACCCGTTCCCACCCAATTATATATACAGTAGAGTTGTATAATGGACATATAAGACATACATATTACGTAAATAAATGAAATACAAGATAAGACCCACCGGGAAAAGGGAAACTCTGCGAAGTAGAGGCTAGATAGTTATTCAATTATTTACGTATATATATTATATATACCGCAGGTGAGCGCAATTAATCAAGCCTCTCCTAAATTAGACCAAGGAGAGAGGAGAGTGAGCAGAGGAGTGCATACTGGCCAAGATGGACGGACGGACCGTATATGAAAGCCGTACACAGCGCAGGAGCGCACATTATTGTAAAGAAAAATAATAAGACTGTTAACTGTCATCTGTGTCAGCGTCTTCGTAACGCTGCTGAAAGATAATACAATGCATGAGCCAATCAGCACGAGGAACAGAAGAGCATGCTCAATGCTGTGTTCAATCTACTCTAGGTAAAGAAAGCTACCAGCAAAGTCTTTTTGCTATATTTTTACTGTTTAATTTTTTAGGTTAGAACATGTTTTTTATCATGAAAATACTGAAAAATAAAATACGTAAAATACCGCAATATAGCGAAACTCTCGCGAGATGGGAATAAAATAAATCAGTGATGTGCTGAGGGAGCAAAAGGAGAACCGTGATATATACTGTAGGAACACTATTTTTCACAACACAAATGCTCCATCATTCTTCCTCAGGTTTGCCAGTTAGAAAAACAAATTGCTGCTTCTGAAGGGCGTATCCAGTATGGACTGATTCTTTTCTTTCAGCTACAGTGCTCAGAAGTGGCACCGCATCTGAACGATCAATATGAAACTCGGAATTGTCTCCAGGGGAATGTCTGCAACAGCGCCTAAGAGCTGCTTCTGTGACTCTTCTTTTTCGTGGAGAATCACTGGTCTCTGTGGAAAGTAAAGTGCCGACTTTGTTTATGTAGGTAGTTGAAACCACAAGCCACAGCAGAGGATAAGAGGCCCCCCTGAGTCTGCGACCTCATGTGTGTGCCAAGAACGCAAACAGAGGCCGGAGCCTGTGTGGCCAGAGGGCAATGAGCAAGACAAAGCTGTCATCAAGGGCATCCTAAATAAAGACATTTCTTTGAATGGAAATACTGCCATTAATAGCGAGATGCTTTAATTGAACTTCACAATAATCCTCTGTTAGTCCGGTCCGGAAAACCCAGACTGGTCAGACCGGTCTGGTCTGGAAAAGGCAAAATAGTTTCAGTGTCCAAAAGTAAACTATCATCATAAAAAAATTCAAATGGAGAAATGGAGCAATATATATTAGAGCTAGATAACTTGATGCATTATTATAGTGTTAACTCATTAATTACCGTATTTACTGGACTATAAGTCGCTCCGAAGTATAAGTTCCACCAGCCAAAAAATGCATAATGAAGAAGACAAAACATATATATGTCACTCCGGAGTATAAGTCGCACCAATGACTTGCCCTCTAGTGGCTCTCAGTGTGAAAATAATGAACGTGAAATTATATATTTTAATATGTAAATCACACTTGAGTATAAGTCAGAAACCCAGCCAAAGAATAAAAAAAAAGTGCGATTTATAGTCAGGAAAATACGGTAACTACTACAACTAACACTGAGAATTATTTTTTGCTCGACTAATTACACCGTATGCAAGTTTTAAATATCTATTTAAAAGTTGTGTACAGCACACTTTTATTTTAAATGTACTGCCATGTGAACAACACTTCTAATGTCAGCATTTTGTTTATACAGTAGAATTTAAATAGATTATTTAGCGGAATTCTCAACTTAAACTATTGCAGTGGTTCTCAAATATTTTCTGTCATGCCCCGCATAACACCCCCACGAATTGAAATACTATTGAGAACCTGATAACATGTATATTCTTATCTGTACAAACCACTGTATGAGTTGCTGCCACCTAGTGACTGGAGGCATGTTATCATTCATGAATTACAACAATGGTACACTTATGTCCAGTGTGCAATATTCCATGTTGGGCACTTTACTTTGAAAAAGTAATTGTTATAGTTACGAGTTACTTTTCCCAAAAAGTAACCATTAGTAATCTAGTTACTCCACCATAGAAGTAACTAGTTACCAGTGAAAGTAACTATTGCGTTACTTTTTTTTTTTTAGTTTAAAAATGTAGAGTAGAAAAGCAAAGAGAGCAAAGTAAACAGTTTAACAATGTGAGCTTAACAGGTACATCTTTTTTCGCTGTGACACAAATGGTGGTGAGGCACAGTACTGCCCTGCCTCCCCTGCTGACTTTTCTTTGCACTTTCTTGTATGATTAGCAGGAACAATTCTCTCACATTAGGATATTCTCTCACAAAAGTATAACATATCTACAACCAGGTCTCAGACAGGAAACTTTATGCTGCTTGTGCTCAATTTCCAGCAGAGCGGGAGCAGTGTGACAGCAAGCAGCATGACTGAC